ATTCAATCCGTCATTAGCGAAACGTTGATGAATATTAATAAAAACGTGTGGATGCGGCTGTCTTCTATTAGGAAATCGTCTCCGATATTCCCTAGCAGCTTCTGCCGAGTTCCCATTGGCAAACCCGTATACGAAGTGAATATCTGCGTATTCTTGGTTCGTAAACTTAAACGGCATTTTGAATTTGTTGCAATTTTTTTTAATACTCTACACACAATTAGAAACTATAATAAAATAAGCGCAAATGTCAATATTAGAATGACATTTCAAGTCTGATTTGATTTCTAAACAGTATTTTCGGTTTTTCTTAATTCGATTTCTAAACAGTATTTTCGGTTTTTCTTGAAAACGCCACCTCCTATCGACTTTGGACAAGAGGGCCTTTTCTGGGTAAAATTGAATGCTCTTTCATATTTTTCGAAAACATTTGGAAAATATCAAATCGGCTATACTTTTTTTTATAAAAATATGCATAGAGACCCCTCTATCTCCACCACTGGAACTAATATGCGATGATTTTCTGTGTCAAATTATTTGCCCTTAAATACTAAGTCTTTCGCCGCAACATGATGATTTTTTTTGTCAGCGGTTATTTAGTTAAAAAATAAATAAATAAAACAAAAATAAAATTGAACGCCCTGTATCTCAGAAACAAAGCGTTTTAGGACCCATATATATAGGAACTTTTAGACTCAAAATGAGGTCTTCTACTAATTCCTGAAGTCCTGCTATTTAAATGTGAGACACCCTGTATATGTAAGATAGTTAAAAATTGCGGCGTCTTTTTATTTGCAAAATGTGATTATTGTTCGTTTCGAAGGAACCCCGTATTTAAGCATTTCTTGAGTTCTCGAACAACTTAGTTAAATACAGTTTTTAACGGAAACAAAAATGAAAGGTACTTTTCTTGGGGTAAATTTCATATTTTGAATTTTTTGGACGCCCTGTATGTTTTATTACATATTTGATTACTGCCCATGGCTTTCCAAGATAAGAAAAACTTTTTATGAGGAATAACTTTTTCTGAAAAATCGACAATAAAAAAGTTTACAATAGTGCGGCAAAAGTCCCGGATGGAACACACTGTATAAGCATCTACTAAGTAGTAGACATTAGGTTGACTCGAAAAACGTTGACCGTCACCATCACATCACGAAATTAGGTCAAATAGCGCACTTGGGAAGAATGTTGTGGCATCATAACGGTACAGATCTAATCCTATTCATGTTGATAAAAATCGTGTCTACGTAAAAAAAACTGCACTGCTTTACGACAAACATAAATGATTTATTCACTTTAAAGCCTGTATCAGACAATGCAATTTAGTTGCAGCGACAAAATTGCGGGGATAAAATTGCATGCTTATTATCACACAATGAGACATAATTGCTGCAATTTGTTTAGTTGGCAGTAGTGTTACCAACTGTACATTGTTTAACATGTAAAATTTCTTGTATGTATCTTGTATACAATTATTTTTTATTCAAGCAAAACATTGCAATTGATGAAAATTTGAAAGTAAATTGCTGTACGCCACACTCCATGGCTAGAAATTGGCCTCAATGATTTGGGATCGAGGGGGATTATCCCTCTTTATCCTGCCTCATCTCGTGTAGGCCTGGACAGCCTTCNGTTAAAAAATAAATAAATAAAACAAAAATAAAATTGAACGCCCTGTATCTCAGAAACAAAGCGTTTTAGGACCCATATATATAGGAACTTTTAGACTCAAAATGAGGTCTTCTACTAATTCCTGAAGTCCTGCTATTTAAATGTGAGACACCCTGTATATGTAAGATAGTTAAAAATTGCGGCGTCTTTTTATTTGCAAAATGTGATTATTGTTCGTTTCGAAGGAACCCCGTATTTAAGCATTTCTTGAGTTCTCGAACAACTTAGTTAAATACAGTTTTTAACGGAAACAAAAATGAAAGGTACTTTTCTTGGGGTAAATTTCATATTTTGAATTTTTTGGACGCCCTGTATGTTTTATTACATATTTGATTACTGCCCATGGCTTTCCAAGATAAGAAAAACTTTTTATGAGGAATAACTTTTTCTGAAAAATCGACAATAAAAAAGTTTACAATAGTGCGGCAAAAGTCCCGGATGGAACACACTGTATAAGCATCTACTAACTAGTAGACATTAGGTTGACTCGAAAAACGTTGACCGTCACCATCA